AGGAATAATCATCAAGCTGGGTGTTAGATATTTGTAATAATTATCCCAGTTTGTCGATGCTGCACTATTTAACTGGAACTTACACTTAAATAGCTTGAATCGTATATTCAGATGATCCGAGCACGATGGCTCAGTGGTATCCAGTTAACATTTTTTTTGCTCAGAAAGTTTGCGCTGATGTTACACCAAGTAACCTAGTTCTGTTTTTTTGTGATCAAGGTTTGCTAAGAGCGCCACGCACATTGACTATTGTTAACTATACAGTCGAGTCCACAGAATGGTGGGTGAATCGTCAAACGCCACTTTGATTGGTGTCCGTGTGGTGGGTGTGTGTGACATTTACCAAATGTTGGCTGTTCCTTCTGCAGTGCTCGACTAGCGCTCTTCCTGTAGGTGGCTCTTCTACTGCCCTATCTCTAACCTCACTAAATTTTTGCCTATAGTTTAACCAAATCCAAGCGGCAGTAATGACATTAAATAACCTTAGTTATTGTAAACAAGCATCAGGTGGTAATCCAGCCTTTCTATTGGTTGAAACGCCGTACCAGCACCACTACGCATGCACGGAGGACATTTGATAGGTTGCAATGAAAATTTCCAGTTATGTCATTACTGCCGCTTGGATTTGGTTCAACTATAGATGGGTAGCGACAAGTTGATGTCATAATTTTAAAAAACGAGGCAATAGTGTCAAGTTTGATTATATGATAGACGTCGGAAATGCAAATTTAATTATATTTTTAATTTCCGAGTACACGTACGCCAATGTGACTCGTTTTGAAAAATTTTTACATGGACTCATCGCATCCTATCTAGGCAAGATTTGCTAACGGATGTAGTGTTACGAAACAAAACTAATTCTCTTGCAGCGGAAAATCGCGTAGCAAACGCGGAATTTTTAAAATTTCTCCCGCAGCGGGGAAATGTCAACTTCTTGCGATATCGCAAAAAAGTTAAACTATTTTTAAGTTTTTATCCTCTGTCACTTTTTACTGTCACCTGTGAAATGTATACGATCGTCAACAAAAGTAACTGGGACAGCATCATATTAGCTCTTGTACTATTATATGATTTTAGATGTCAGGTATTTGTCAAATTATGAATCATTTTATGTTTATATAGGTTAATTTGGAATAGTCCAGGAGATTGATATGAACTATTTTTGTCTCAGTTACTTTTGGTGACCATGGTATATGTAACGCACCTGTAACGCGATTTTCCGCTCCATGAGAACTAGGCTTCAAACGAATATGTCCTTGCTGCCCCTTCTCCTCCTGTACGAAGGTCACATGCTTTGAGCAGAAACCTGTAAGTTCAAAATATTTTAGGCTCTTTTCTGATGAGTATACATCGTCTGGTCCCATTTCGATAAATTCACCAGAGTTGTTACCTGGTCCGGATAATTCGGTCTGTGGTTGAAGTCCAGAGCTCTCGAATGAGTGCTATATCAATCATCCTATCATATATTTTCCCAATAAACTAGGACTGTAGGAGGCTGCCCTAGACCTCATCTATTCTCGAAACCGGGGAAGAGCGTTCTCATGATGAGAACCATTGCTCTGTCTGTCAGTGTTATGAAAATATGAATATGGGCGACGAAGACTGAACCTTCGTTCTCATGAGAACGCTGCTTCCTTGTTTCGAGAATAGGAACCCTGGCATGCTGCAGGTAGGTTTCCATGGGTTTACTCCTGCATAAGTTTGGCTCGTTTCGTCAGCCAGACTAAGCCATGTACCCCTCGGCAGATGGTGGTGGTGTTGGCGGAAGTGGTTTGGTTACACCTTTGTCGTGTCTCCCCAAGTCTCTGCTACTTTTTTTTAAAGTTTGCCCTGCGTGGGGTCGATTTTCCTTTGGCCAGTCCATTCATTGGTATTTTTTGAGCTGCTTTTCCAGATGGCATTCTTGATCTACTGAGCGGTTGATTTCAGCTAGATTCAGAAGTTGCTTGGCCATTTGAAAAGCAACAAACTACATATTAACCATGTCCTGTTATTTCTAGGAACTGTCATTGCTGTAGCATTCTATTGTTTTATGATCTCTTCAAATTCGGCTGAAAAGTCTTCGAGTTTAGATCATGCAATTTTATTGAGATTAACATTCTCCTTCGAATTAATTGGCCTAACTTGCCCTTTTCTATTATGAAGTCAAGTCAAGTTGATCCATTGAAACCATTTATAATTTATATCCACAAGAATAGGGCGATTTGATGTTCAACGTATAAGATGGCGCCGCGGCATAACAAACTTGACGTCCATAAGAGACTGATGTGTATTTTCCTCGTATTTTCTGTGAATTTCTAAAGTGTTGATCAGTTTGAGAACGTTTATTGATAGAAATTTTTATTTTTGGCGTTGCTGTAGTTCATGTAATTTAGGTTTTTGACATTCATTTTCACAGCTTCTTGGGGTCCGGTATTTTATTGGTAGATAAATATTCCAAGTAACTCGGTTTTAACTACGAACATTAAAGGAAATTGAAATTAATTAAAATTAATCAAATTAAACTCTGAACAGGTAGAAATAACACACCTTTATATAGAGGCAATCTTTGTTTACATTTCGGACCGCATCGCCATCTTGAATTATCAGCTGATTCGAGTCGCCTAATAGAGGCTGTCTCTATTAACTATTCCAGAATGACGTCACTGACAGGTCCGCCATTTTTGCTGGGTGGCACACAACCAAACACAACCACATTTAGATACATGTTACCTTTGTAAACATTGGCAATTTTTTCATCTTTAAATTTTTAATCCCAGACGAATTGATTCAAAAATGCCTCATTTTTGTTGTGTTATTAATTGTGCATCGGTGGGAGAATTATAAACCAAGATAAACTTGTGATTTCTTTTAGGAAAACCATCTGCCTTAGATGACCCAGCCAGAATTTGGGATACGTTTCCAGCAACCTACCCAGTACATCTGCATTATCTAGATTTGAGAGGTCCTTAAAAAGAGCGAAGATTGAAACTGAGGTACCTACCTACTTATGTTATTTAGTTCTGAAGAACTCTGTTTGATCCAAAAAACATTGAATTCAAATCAAGTATTTCTGGAAACATACTGATTAAAATAATATATTATGGAGTTAGTAAAGTTAGTGGTTTCTTATTAACTTAATTTTTTAGGCCTAAACTGGAGTCGATACGAAGCAGGCAGTTGTTGAAAATGCAGAAGTTCCTCCAGAAAATTCTCTACATTCAGATGAAACGCATCAAGAAATTTCAGCAATAGAAAATCGAGACAATCATGTTAGGGTATCAGTTCAAACTGATTTATCTGAGGATTACTTGAACAGTGTTTTTCGTAACCTGAACTTTTGTTATTCAAGAATTCATACGTTGCAAAAAAACTTGAGAATATTGATTTAAGTGAAGATTTTTTTGAAAATGGTGACATGAAAACACTTAATTTTACAGAATTTCCTGAAGCTGGTATGTTATTTATGAGTGTGTTTTCGTTTTGCCATATCTTTCTTCTTATCCCAATAAAAGTTTGTCAACTTTCAACAATTAATACTAACTTTAATGAAGCTCCGTCTGAATTTACCATTCAAACATCTGTCATATAGATGTCGCTGTGAGCCCTATCACTGCATCAGAAACTTTTTACAAAGCCCTTGATGTACCTTATGACAGATTCAAGCAAGTGGTGTATTGGCCAGAACGAGAAGCTTTGCAAAAAAATGTTCCGGCATGTTTCAGAGAAGCATTTGGTAACCGAGTAGCAGTTATAATAAATTGTTTTAAAGTTTTCATTGAAATTCCATCTAATGTTGTGCATGCTTCTCAATGCTGGTCAAATTACAAACATCATGAAACTATGAAATTTCTTATTGGAATAACCCCGCATGTAACAATTTCCTACATGTCTGAAGCTTGGGGTGGAAGAACAGGCGACAAATTTTTAACTGAAAATTGTGGTTTCCTAAATTCAATTCTACCTATGTATGTATGTGTTGGAGATGTCAGTTGCACTACGCCCAAGGTTGATCTATTGTACCCCTCCTTCTGCTGCTAAGTTCGGGTTTCCTGCTTAAAGCAGCCCCTCTAGTCCTAGGTCCTTTAGGAATTTTAGGATGTCTAGCGGTTCCAGGGCTGGAATGTCTTTCAGCTGTATAAGGGGACTTCCCAGGTTCTTCATTCTTGAGCGGCTTACGGCATCGCAGTTCAGTAGAAGATGGTGAGGTGTTTCTTCACCGTCTTCACAGAATCTGCAAGTGTTACCTTCTTCCAACCCCAGATTATGTAGGTACTTATTCAGTCTGCAATGCCCCGATAGAAACCCGGTTAGAGTTTTGAGACTTTTCTTGCTAAGGTTGACCAGCAGTTCAGATCTTATTTGGTTATAACTACCCAGTAGATCTTTAGCCTGTCGTAGTCCTGGTTGGTCTAGCCATTGTTTGTTCCTTAGCCGGTTCTCTTCCTTTTTGAGGATTTCTTGGAGGTGGGGAAATCCGACGCCGCAGAATGGTTCTGGCCCAGTGAAGGTAGTGGTCGCGTAACATGATCTAATAAGGTGTATTTTTTTCCAAGATGGATTTTGACATTGAAAATTTTGAATCAGTTTTACAATGCACGTCGTACAGAGATAAATACTATATAAACTGTCGAGAATGGTATATCTGTGCTAATATTATTTTTGTCAACAAAATTCAGCCAAGTCAGGGCCATTTACTGTTCCGGAAAAATCACCATCCACGTTTTGCATTGGCGCTATAGACACCAGGCTTTAAGGCATTTTTATGATAGATGGCGGCCTGATCGCATTACTGTCGGGCTTTTCAATTTTTTTTATTCTGGACTCTGGGACATTAATGTTTGCTTAAATTAATTGGTGCTTTGTTGATTACATCAAAATTTATTATCCTATCGTATATTCTTTCAAATAATAAGTTTTTAGACCATATTACGAAATCGCAATATTTACGTTCAGTCACAAACATCTGACATTGCATTTGATAATAATAGTAATGGCTGCAGTCCAAAAAATATTCATTTTCATTGAAAATTGAAAGTTAGGCAGGTATGCTTTTTAGAGGCAAAGTCTTCGAAGCTTGTTGCATCTGCTAATAGGTATGGACATTCGACTTCGTCTTCGACACCCCAAATCACAACAGGAACATGACACCACAAACCATCAGGAGATGCACCAACTTCAGAATACTTTTGGGATATTATAAATCCACTTGCTGACAACATAAAGTTGGTATGTTGGTCTTTATAATATTTCTCGTACTCTTGTTAAAAAAAAAATTTCATGCTTAACTCCATACGAAGTTCCCTTATTATAAAAAATTACCTTTTGTGGGTAGCAAACACCTTTCACAACCGTTAAGGAAGGCTTATCGATCGTTGTTCTACAAACTGCCTTGCATCTAGAAGCAAAGATTCTTGCGGCTCTGTATTTGAACCAGGTGCTATTTTGAGACTGTTCTCGAGTTGTTGCCTCAATAGCTTTGCATTGGTCCTCAGTCAAAGTCAAATCCAGAGTTTTGGATATGGCTAGCAATTCCTCTATTCTTCATGATTTGCTGACCATATTTGGAGAATACCATTTGTCTGAACTTCGTGGCAAATTTTGAGGGACACTATTTGCCATCTCCAATAATCGACAAATTGCAGGCTGAATATCGATTTCCTGAAGTTTGGTCAGCAGAGTACAAAGTTCTTCTTTATCCAGACAAAGAGCATGTTCCTAAGATAAAGTCTTTGGCTCTATTTTTTTTCAACCAATCCATCTCTTGCACTCGAAGCATTTCAACTTTTTTCATTGGAGGAACTGGCCAAAGTGAAAGTTGTTCAATGCAGGATGGGCCAGGTCCACTGTCTTCCAAGGTATTTGGACGAGCGTGTAAAAAGAATAGAACTGTCGAGACATGACTGCAAACTTCTGATAAGCGAGCCATGCATGTGCAGTGGGCACTAGAAATATTCGTATCCTTAAGGATAATCACCCAAACCTTATGTAATTTTTCCCTCTTTCTTTGAGAGTGTTGAACCTGTTACAAAGAAAAATGTTAATAGGCATGTTTGAATGCTTTGTGAATTAACAATTTTAAATAATATGAAGAAACTAATTTTGATTTGCGTAAACAGTGTAAAGCAATATGGATAAATAACTATTTCTCTATTATTACCTTCGCAATGACAACAAATGCTTCATCGTTGAACTGCTTTGCCAAAACCCCTTGAACAAAGCCAGCTTCAAACTGCTTGTAGGCTTGCAAGCTTTTATAAGCCTAGAGCTGTTGGCCTGTATAAAATGTGGCTAAGAATTGAATAATTCACTAGATCCATCATTGTAATATTGGGGAGTTTGTGAAGATTAAGCTTGCATTTCTCAATTGGAATTGCATAGGGGTCTACATTGTCTATAATTTCCATTTTTCGATCATATCGGCACATAAGATCACCACTTAAACTCAAATAATAGTCACTTCGATACATTTTGTCTAAATAAACGCAAAAACAAAGCAAAAAAACACAGTCAAACAAATCTAATTTGTATCACAAGCCAGGCATGTAAACAAAGGAAGAATAAATCTTTTGTACGCCACCCAGGCAAAATGGCGGACCTATCAAAGTCACATGTCCTAGAAGGGTCAATAGGGCAAGTACACGATCTGACAGTTTGACACTATTGACAGTCGCCTTGAGGTAAAACAAAGATAAATTTACAGTGTTTTTTTAAGTTTTTAGTTAGATTCTTTTAAATAAATACCTTTTGTGTGATCCAGAAGTTTCTTGGACATGCCTAGAGTTTGTTCAGTTGTTAATTGTGGCAGTCTAGCGCAAGAGATATAATATCCTTCCATAGGTTTCCATCAATTTTAATTAACAATGGGAAGTTTGATTTGTTAGCTCAAGAAAGAAGAGAAAAATTGATTAATGTCCTTAAAAGAGAAGATCTGACAGAAAAATTGATTGAATATAGAGTAACTATACTTATATATTTGTTCTTGTGACACTTAGTTTTGATATTTGTTCGAAAAAACCTGAATTTAATCCATTATAAAAAAAACCTAGCAAACTTCTGGATGAAAGGCCACATACACTGGAATATAAACAATTTACTTTAACTTTTTTAAAACAAAATAAGGTTCTGGTTACTTATAGGTCCCAACTTCTATGAAATTTTTTCGCAGTAATTTCATTTAGATATCACTTGAAAAATAGTTCCCATTCGAAAAAAGTGCGGAATATTTAGCTTCCTACAATATAATAAGGATGTAGCGCGTTTTAGTTACGGAAAAAGCATATACAATATATACCTTCCTAGTCCTAATGCTCATTATTTTTTTATCAATTGATGCTGACGAATTTGTCAGCAGGTTTTTATATTCTACTTACTAAGGAATAGCACGCATTACGTGGACGGGAGTTTGCATATTTTTGGTAAGTTTCGTTCAATGACTTTCGTTCTAGCTTTCGTTACAGTTCGTTTATTAACGGTTATAAGTGTACTGGTTGACCACAAAACTTTGTTTTTTGAACTCAATAATAACATACAAGGACTAACACGCATTACGTGGACGGGTTAGTTAGGGTTAGTTTGCATATTTTTGATTAGTTTCGCTACAGACCGTTTAATACTGGTTATAAGTGTACTGGTGTACTTACAAAGCGCGCGAAGCGCGCTCGGTTTTCTGAATTTAATATTAATATTGTCACAACCCCTATACGTTTCGTCCTGGGACGTCACAACAGGAGCGTGACTTGGGGGCGTAGGTGAGGTTCAGGTAGAGAGAAACTCGCTTGGTATAGGTATAATAAGATGTGTATGGAATAATAATAGTTATTACCCTAGAAATGGTATCATGACGTCTCTTCTACGGAGGGACGTACTTCTTAAAGGGCCAGTCTGTATCAATTATGTACCCTCTGCACACTTGGTGTGACTGAAGACTGAAACTAGGTTTGAGGCAGGCCCAGAAGGGCGTTTCCCATTAAAGGTAGTTCGCACTGGGAGGAGACTTAGCTAGAGGGGCTTTTCCCATTAGAGGTAGTTCGCACTAGCCTTAGTCTGCCGGTAATGGATTTCGGCGCTGTATTTATACCAAATAAATGCTGACTCGTCGACACACTTTAATAAAATTGATGTACAGAGTGGTATTTACTCAAGTAGTTGACAATATAATATAGGGACTAGTACGCATTACGTGGACGGGTTAGTTTGGGTTAGTTTGCATATTTTTGATTAGTTTCGCTACAGAGCTTTTAATACTGGTTATAAAGTGTACTGGTGTACTGACAATTAGGAATTCAATAATAAGATATTAGGACTAGTACGCATTACGTGAACAGGTTAGTTTGGGTTAGTTTGCATATTTTTGGTTATTTTCGTTACGGTTCGTTTATTACTGATTATAAGTACTGGCTGATAACAGAGAAGCGCGCTCGTGTTTTTAAATTAAATATTAACATACAAGGACTAGGACGCATTACGTGGACGGGTTAGTTTGCATATTTTTGGTTAGTTTCATTACAGTTCGTTTAATACTGGTTATAAAGTGTACTGGTGTACTTAGAATTAGGAATTCAATAATAACATATAAGGACTAGTACGCATTAAATGGACGGGTCAGTTTGAGTTAGTTTGCATATTTTTGGTTAGTTTCGTTACAGATCGACTGTTTTTAAAATTCAATATTAACATACAAGGACTAGCACGCATTACGTGGACGAGTTAGTTTGGGTTGGTTTGCATATTTTTGGTTAGTTTCGTTACAGTTCATTTAATACTGGTTATGAGTGTACTGGTTGACAACAAAGCGCGCTGATAGCGACCGATAGTGGGGAATTTTCGTAGTTTATTTTTGAAAGGTGGGCCAAATCGTCAATTTTGGATATAATTTTCCGATGGAAAATGTGCATTTTCCGCATTTATTTATAGCTTACATGTGTGAATTTGAAGGAATCTTTCTCAAAAGACAAAAAAAATTTACGTCTCTATTGGGACCTATAAGTTACCAGACCCCAAAAGAACACAAAAACTTGTAAAAAAGCCGTGAAAACCGCATAAAACATAACCGGCCTAATCTACACGAATGTGAATAAATGATTTGTTTTACCTCAGGGCGACTGTCAAACTCATTTGTGACGTCACATGGACATGCCCTATTCATATTTTATTTTTATCAAAATAACCTCAACTCTTCTTATTTTTTTCCGGAATATCACCGCCGCCATCTCTACAAAAAGAAATGCATTACCTAATGGTTCATCGTTTTAACCTATAGTAACAACAGTTTCTATCAAATAAAATCTCGATTAATTGAGTTTTTAAGTAATTTACCAAACAGGAAATCTATCAATTTTCTAATCACATTTAATCAAAATCCACACTGCAAGAGATTCCTTAAACAAACTTAATTACTGTTCCTACTCATGTATATTTATGTTCCAACGGAACAAGCTCTATGTAACCCTTTTCGCATAAGAGATCGTCTGACAGCCCTGCACATCGAGCTGGTGCACCGTGGACGATGCACCAGCAGGAATTCGCCAACTCATGGTGCATTTGCACGGCGAGGCGAAAAAGTGCACCGGAATAATCCATCAACTGGGGATGCAGCAGGCTGAAAAAGAGCGACGGTACAACGTCGGTAAAGTATGGGTTTATTATACCGGACCAGTATAAAAACTGGTTAAATTTCAACTTTGCCGCACTGGTGTTATTAAACCTAACAAAACACATAAACTTCAGATTTTAACTAAGTTTTTATCAGAATATGGCGCTTATCTGTGAAAACTAGCTAAATTGAGCAAAATGGTTAATTTTTGCATTTGAAAATGAACTTATTACTTTATTTCTCACTTTTGCATAGTCGGCAACTTTGTCTTCATTTTACTTTAAATAGTTCTTACTTAACGTAATTTTGCCTATTAATCCGACGTAATTGTCGAGCGTCGCCTAAAACTTCCTGCTAACTCGATTTCTGATACTGCCAGTTATAAATCGATTTCATTTGTCGTCTCTTCTTTTTTAAAGGACATTGATAGAGGAGTCGCGATTATAAAGAGTTATTGTGTCTTTTCATTCTATAGAAAGTCGGACATTTCGTAAGTCTCGCACAATACAATATTGGCCAAGATGAAAAGCCCCGATTCAATCTAGAGTGTATACCGTTTTTTCTTGTTAGATCTGTCCTTTCTTTTGTGAAATTGAACACATTCGAGACGAGATTTTTATTGGGAACTGTGAGAAAAGTTCGAAACTTATTATGAAAATGTATTGTGACAGAATCGAAATGCAGACAAGTGGAAAAATAAGATCACATTGGCTGAATAGAAAAAAAAAACAAAAAAATGTGACTGTGAGGTCTTTGAGGAAGAAAGAACTGAAATTTATATTGACGCCTTAACTTTTTGCCGAACAAAACAAAAAAAAACACCGAAAACCCTTTCTGAAAAATATGAGGGATTTCGACGTAACAGATTGGATTCGGTGAGGGGTGGGCGACATTTGACTGTTTTAAATCGCGCCAATTTGAAATTCTTGAATTTCCTACCCGTCTAGACGCTAAATTCTTTTACGTCACGTTTGCAACCCAAGCGATACTTTTCCCTTTATTCTCTAATGGATGTAGCGTCTGGCTAAACGCCATTTTAAAGGTAGAAAACTCTATGAATTTTCGATTTTTTTTTAGTTGGCTTTGAATAATTGAATTTGAGTTTTGTACTAGTTAAAACTTGCAAGATATGTTTTATTAATGTCAATTTTAAATTTAGGACTTGTCATTTATACCTAAGTGTTTTCTGCAGGTTTTGATTTGGTACATATTTGCTTGACACAAGGCTTCGACTGACTACTTTCAATGGCCCGCAAATTTAGACACGCGATGACAAGGTCATGATAGAATCACGCGATAATTGCTTTGAAAAAATCAAAAACTCGAGGGAGATTAGGGTCATGAAAGTCATCGTTGCATCCATAAACAATAGTTCGATCGGCAAAATGACAACAGAAGAAATTTACTAGTGAAATTCTCCAGCAATTCTGGGTTGTGACGAGCGAATTCACAACATCTCACAGTGCATTAGGAAGTGGCAACTTTGTCCTAACCATTGGCTCCAGGAATACACTGGCTATGGTCCAAATATAAACAAACGTTAACCAAAGTAACTATAGTATTTGTAATACCCATTTAGAATAATCCCATCCTTATTTATCAATCACGAATCAGATGAAACAAAAAATTACCAACAAAAACGAACGTCGATTGCGAATACATCAATTTCATGTACGAATAGGAAATTCCTAACCTTATTTTACTTGTGTGTCAAGAAGCGAAGTACGTTTTGTCACTAGAATGACTGGTACTTCTAAATAGGTATTAAAAATACTATTTTTTATATATCAGTTGATAGATGGTTAGTGAAATTCCGATTTCCGGTTAGTTGGGGAAGGTCAATCAAAAATGATTGACAGAATAGAAATCACAGAT